TTTTTGTTTTTTCCAGACAGGGTTTCTCTGTATTATTTTGGAGGCTGTCCTGGAACTCTTAGACCAGGCTGGCCTCAAACTCACGAGATCCTCCTGCCTCTTACTCCTGAGTGCTGGGATTAAAAGCATGTGCCACCACTGCCTAGCTGTATTGTTATTTCTTATGAAAATTGTAAACATGCCAGGCGTTGGTGGCACACGCCTTTAATCCCAGCACTCGGGAGGCAGAGGCAGGCTGATCTCTGTGAGTTCGAGACCAGCCTGGACTACCAAGCGAGTTCCAGGACAGCCTCCAAAGCCACAGAGAAACCCTGTCTCGAAAAACCAAAAAAAAAAAAAAAAAACACTAGGGAGCCGGACATTGGTGGTGCATGCCTTTAATCCCAGCACTTGGGAGGCAGAGGCAGGGGGATCTCTGTGAATTCAAGGTCAGCCTGGTCTACAGAGTGAGTTCCAGGACAGCCTCCAAAACAATAGAGAAACCCTGTCTCGAAAAACAAAACAAAAATAAAAAAATAAAAATAAAAAGGGGAGAAGTCAGAACATTGTCCATGAATGAGAATGAGAACTTTTGAGGAAACTCCAAGTATAACGATATTCGATGCTATATAGGGAAAACAATATATTTATTTACCAGAGAGAGAGAGAGAGAGAGAGAGAGAGAGAGAGAGAGTCACACAGACCAGGATTAGAAGCATGCCTGGAGAGAAAAGGGAAGCCCCTTTTCCTTTCATTTCCTTTTATCTCTACCTTGTCCCCGCCCTGATGGGCAGATAGCTTTGTGGGGTTCACGCCTACATCCAAGTAAATAAGACATTATCTCCATTCCTTCAAAACATGGGCTGGTCCTAGAATTTATTGTCATGCTCCTCCCTGGTGTAGTATATAGAAGTGGGTTTTACTTTAGATAATCTATCATTTTACCATTATTATTCAGAATGTTTCCAAGCAGGAGTTGTCCTCCTGAATGTATACACCCTAATCTTGCCCTTGTGAAGGTATATATCCTAAACTCGTGTGACTATGCCCTTCTGAGTGTAGTATATAACCTACATTCATATGAACTTTTCTAGCTCTCAGAATAACCTCAAAATACAAATTGTCTGATGCCTTAAATAAAGATATCTATTCATAAGGCTTTAATCCACCTCATTTTTAGGCTTCACTCTCCTAGGTTCATGCCAACAACTAGAGCAGTAACAATACGCCAGGCCGGCCTTGAGTTAGCAGAGATCCAAGTGTCTCTGTCTCCCAAGTGTTAGCACTAAAGGTTGTCTGCCACCACTCCTGGCTCCCAGGAATTTTGTGGTAGCAAGTGTTTTCTTGGACTCCCCTCTCTCCTTGAGAAGCTCTATTGTGACCCAGGCTGGCCTTCAAATTCCCCATGTATCCAAGGGTGACCATGAACTTCTTTTTTTTTTTTTTTTTTTTTTTTTTGGTTTTTCGAGATAGGGTTTCTCTGTGGCTTTGGAAGCTATCCTGGAACTCACTTTGTAGACCAGGTTGGCCTCGAACTCACAGAGATCCACCTGCCTCTGCCTCCCGAGTGCTGGGAGACCATGAACTTCTTATGCTCATAAATCTGATTCTGTAGTTCTGGGATGAAAGCTCATTGATGCCTACAAGGTAATTTAGTTTCTATTTTTTAAAGACAGATTCTCATACAGGCCAGTCTGACCTTTAATTTGCTACCTTCCCAAGCCTTAACCCCTGGTCTTCCTCTTTGCTTCCTGAGTGTTGGGATGACAAACCTTGACAACCATGTTTGGTTTTATGTACGGGGATTAACGGCCTTTCCAATTTTTCTATTCCTTCAACAAAACATCATTTTTCCTTCCTAACTTCATATGTTCCTTTCTTTATGTCTTGGGTCTTATTGTTCTTACTGTTTAGTTTTATTTTGAGACGGGTCTCACTGTGTAGCTAGTCTGTTACTTTCAATGTAGCTCAGGCTGGCCTGAAACTCAAATTCCTACTTACTGGGACTATAGATGAGTGTCAGCTTTTTTGCCTTCTTTTCTTTGTCTTTGTCTTGGAATTCTGCCCTGCCCCACCACACCCAGCCCCAAAGGAAATGCCTCAAGAGAGGGTGGAATGGAGATACACTTGAGTATAGCCCTAGAGCAGGTGACACACTGATATATATCCATGTAAATGGCATTTGGGGGAAAGCAGATGACCTGTCGCTCCTTTTCTGTTTGTGGTTTTGGTTTTGGTTTTGGATTTTTGAGAAAGGGTTACTCTGTGTAACAGCTCTGGTTCTCCTAGAACTTGCTTTGTAGACCAGGCTGGCCTTGAACTCATAGAGATCTGCCTGCCTATGCCTCCCTAGTACTAAAAATTACAGTTATTCACCACTACTGCCTGGCTGACCTGTCATTCCTTTGCTCTGGAGTTGGAGATGGGAGTGACCAGAGTTGATTATTTCGGGCAGATCTCTGAGTGTGAAGCCAGCCTGGTCTACAAATCTAGTTAGAATACAGCCAGGGTTGCCAGGAGGTGGTGGTGCATACCTTTAATCCCAGCACTTGGGAGGCAGAGGTAGGCAGATCTCTGAGTTCAAGGCCAGCCTGGTCTACAGAGTGAGTTCCAGGACAGTTATATAGAAAACCCTGTTTCAAACCAAAAAAAAAAAAAAAAAAAAAAAAAGACAGGGTAATTACACAGAGAAACCCTGTCTCAAAAACCAAATAAATCAAAACAAAACAAAAAATCTTCTTTGGCTGTACTGTGAATTCAAAGAGAGCTTGGGCTACTTAAGACCCTATCCAAAGAAAACAAAAGGAAACAACAACAACAAAAAACTAGGCTCAGTGTGAGTGATTGCACAGTCCTTAAGAGCTCTAGTCAGTCTTACAGAGGACCTGGGTTCAGTTCCCAGCACCCACATAGTGGCTCACAACCATCCATTACTCCAGTTCCACAGGATCCAATATCCATTTCTGACCTCCATGGGCAGCTGGCACACCATTGGTATACATACATACACATGCATACAAAAGTACTCATATACATAAAATAAAATAGATTCATCTTTTATATTTATATTAATTTTCTTTTGTGTGTTGGTATTGCCTGCAAATATATCTGTGTCATATCACTTGAGTTACAGACAGTTGTGAGCTACCATGTGGGTTCTGGGAATTGGACCCAACTCCTTTGGAAGAGCAACCAGTGCTCTTAACTGCTTAGCTATCTTCCTAGTACCAGAAACAGATTAATTTTTGAAAAATTAAAACAATGTGCTGGAGAGATAGCTGTGACTCACAATCATCTCTAACTCCAGTTACAGGGGACTGGATGCTTTCTTTTGGCCTCTGTGGGCACCAGGTACACATGTGGTACATATTCGTACATTCAGGAAAGACATTCACTCATATAAAATAAACACATAAAAATTAAAAGACGGGAAAAAAAACTTAAGAAAAATTGTTGGAGCCGGGCGTTGGTGGCGCACGCCTTTAATCCCAGCACTTGGGAGGCAGAGGCAGGCGGATCTCTGTGAGTTCGAGGCCAGCCTGGTCTACAAGAGCTAGTTCCAGGACAGCCTCCAAAGCCACAGAGAAACCCTGTCTCGAAAAACCAAAAAAAAAAAAAAAAAAAAAAAAAAAAAAGAAAAAGAAAAAGAAAAATTGTTGGAGCTGGGCGGTGGTGGCGCACAACTTTAATCCCAGCACTCGGGAGGCAGAGGCAGGAGGATCTCTGTGAGTTTGAGGCCAGTCTGCTCTACAAAGTGAGTTCCAGGACAGCCTCCAAAACAATAAAGAGAAACCCTGTCTCAAAAAAAAAAAAAAAGAACTGTTTTTAAGTAGGCTGAGCATTGTGATTCATGTCTTTAAACTCACCGAGTACTCAGGAGGCAAAAGCAGGGGGATCACTGAGTTTGCGGCCATCTTGGTTTACAGAGAGAGTTCTAAGCCAACCAGAAGTACATAGTGAGACCTTGTCTCCAGGAAACAAAAGAACTGTTTAAATGAAGTGTCTGGAAACTAGCTCGAGGTTGCAAGATAATAAGCAGTTATATAGTGCAGGTAAGGGGACCTGAAGGAACCGTTGGTAGAGAGCTTGCCCAGTGTGAAGGAACTTCAGGTGAATCATACTTTTGTAGCTTTGAGGAAGGGAGGGGAAAACAGCTAGGATGATCTTGAATCTCTACTCCTGCTTCCATCTCTTCAAATCACACACACACACACACACACACACACACACACACACACACACACAGTTTCCCTGTGAAACAGTCCTGGCTGTCCTGGAACTCACTTTGTAGACCAGGCTGGCCTCCAACTCAAAGAGATCTGCCTGCCTCTGTCTCCCGGGTGCTGGGATTAAAGACACGTGCCACGGCTGCCTGGCTCTTTTTACTTGTTTAATTAAGAAAAATCATACTGATGATGTGTGGGAGTGTTGTGGAGCTCAGAGGAAGAGTAGGTTCTCTCCCTCCACCATGTGTGGGTTCTGGGAATCGAACTCAGGTTATCAGGGTTAGCAGCAAGCAAGTTGACCCATGGAGTCATCTTACTAGCCCTTATTTATTTAGGTTTGAGACAAGGGCTTGCTTTCTATGCTAGGCTGACTTCAAATTGGCCTTCTAACTGCTGGGACTACAAGCGTGAGCCATGATACCTCCCTGCCTTATTAATTTTTCATGTGTAGTTAACTGGCAGCCTTTTGAATGCCAGGAAGGCAATGAGCTACATGTTTATAGCCCTATATTCCTTTGTGGTTCTCTCTCTCTCTCTCTCTCTCTCTCTCTCTCTCTCTCTCTCTTTTTTTTTTTTTTTTTTTTTGAGATAGGGTTTCTCTGTGTAGCTTTGTAGCCTGGCTTTGTAGACTAGGTTGGCCTTGAATTTACAGAGATCTGCCTGCCTCAGTCACCTGAGTGCTGGGACTAAAAACAAACTCAGCCTTATAGCCTTGGCTGGCTTGAAATTTTCTGTGCTTCTGTCTCCCTGGATTAAAAGCAGGTACCACCTCATCCGGCATGGCATTGGTATGTATATTTAAGACTAGGTGTCTTGCTGACTTTAGAACAATCTAAAGAAAATTAGCATGGATCCTGTGCAAGGATGACCCCAAAATTCATGAAGTGTTCCACATTTTGCTCTTCCCCTAATGGTCACCTGCAGGGAAACTGAGGCACAATGCCATGAATCTGCTGAGCCTCCTCACTCTTCTTGTGTCAGTCAGTCAGTCAAATCCCATCTATAGCTGTTTTTTGTAGAAGCAGATAAGGTCTCAAGTAACTCAGGCTGGCCTCAAACTTGCTACCCAGTCAAGGATAGAACTCAGGACTTAAGACATGCCAGACAAGCACTGTACCCATCTCTTTTGATATTGGAACCTGAATGAGAAAACATGTTTTTAGGATTGTGCCTGTGTGATTTAGTTCCAGATCCTATTACTGGGCTCCCAAAACCTGCAGGAGTTTCCTGAGCTAAAGGAGTGTCTTTAGTTATTCTGAACAATCATGTTAATCACTGGGAGTTTATGTTAAAGAAGAGCTTCAAGGAGGGGCATCCATAGCCTCTGGGAAGGAATAGTTTGCCGAGGAGGAGGCAGAGTACAGGATTTGAACCTTTAGTCCTTTCTATGAACTTCCTGGAAGGGGAGGGAAGATTGGGACCCTTCAAAAACGTTGAGCTGCAGGATTTTTTCTGAGTTTCTACAGTGAGGGAAATGGGGTAAGGCAGTAGTCCCAGAGAGAGCATGGGAGCTTCAGGGTAACTCCTCAGGCTTCCAACTACCTTCTCCATCTGCGCCTCCAGCTGACTCTCTTCACCCCTCCCACTGTAAGTAAAGCCTGTGGACTTCCTAGCAAATTACTAAATCCTGAGAAGGGTGGTGGGCAGGCACCCCTATTTTTGCCTTACAGAAGCAAGCCAAACAAACTAGGATATGGCAATGAAAATTTGTTTTTCAGGAGTGTGTGTGTGTGTGTGGTGTCCTGCATAATCTGTAGCCATCAAATGTCTCCTGCTGGGAAGCCTGAAGACCTGAGTTCAATCCCTGAATCCCATTTGCCTTTTTTAGTTTTTCAGCCGGGCATTGGTGGTGCACAACTATAATCCCAGCACTTGGGAGGCAGAGGCAGGCAGATCTCTGTGAGCTCGAGGCCAGCGTGGTCTACAGAGTGAGTTCCAGGACAGCCTCCAAAACAATACAGAGAAACCCTATCTCGAAAAACCAAAAAAAGGAAAGACAGGGTTTCTCTAGTTTGGAGGCTGTCTTGTAGACTAGGCTGGTCTTGAACTCAGAAATCTGCCTGCCGCCGGGCGTTGGTGGCGCACATCTTTAATCCCAGCACTCGGGAGGCAGAGGCAGGCGGATCTCTGTGAGTTCGAGGCCAGCCTGATCTACAAAGCGAGTTCCAGGACAGCCTCCAAATCCACAGAGAAACCCTGTCTCAAAAAACCAAAAAAAAAAAAAAATCTGCCTGCCTCTGCCTCCTCAGTGCTGGGATTAGAGGTGGACACAGTCACCACCATCTTGACCTCTAAACTCATAAATAGAAAGGAAGAAACTGGGCCTTGGTAGCACATGCCTTTATCCCAGCACTCAGGAGGCAGAGGCAGGGAAGTCTCTGAGTTGGAGGCCAGCTTGATGTACAGTCTTCAGGACAGCATGGGCTACACAGAAAGCCTTTTCAAATAACAAAAAGTGCCTTTGCCCAGTGAACCATCCTCACTGGTCCAAAACTGATTTAAGATGGAGATCTCCTGCTCACCCCTGTAATCCCAGGGATGAGGAGGCCGTGCCTGGAAGATCTGTGCAGATTCCAGAGCAGCTGGAGTAGAAAGTTTTAGGAAAACCTGTCATCAAATCAACCAACCGGGGCCATTGGGGTGGCTCAGAGAGTAAGGGCACCTTTGCCAAGGCTCACCTGAATTCCGCCCCTGAAACCCATGGTGTGGAGTTAGAGAACTGACCTCCACACAGGTGCAGTGGTAGCTCATGCACTTACATTCTTCAAATAAGTAAACCATCCAATGTAAAAATGTTAACAAAACAACATGATTTATGACTGGGGAAGTGACTTAGTGCTAGAGTACTTGCCTAACATGCCAACCATACTACAAAAGAGAAAAGAGAAACCCACAGCAAAACTGTACAATGCAAATAAGAGTGGTGTTATTTAAAAGTAATACTTACTAGCAACTGGTAGCCAGTGTTAGCTGGATCAATGAGAGCAAACCCAACCTGTTCTGTAATGCACTACACAGTGGAGGGAGCAACAAGAAACTTATGAATTGGGCTCAGGATGCTGCACATTTGTCAGAATGCCTTCTAGTACCTCGTAAAGCCAGTTGGGGAGTAAGCAGGGATGGATCAATGACATTCTTGCCTTGCAAGTATGATTAGGATCCCAGTTTAATTCCTACAACTGTGTATGGCTAGACATGGTATCATTTAGCCTATAACAGTAACAGTGATGATAAATAATATAAATGCCACACATTGGGGTGTGTCTTTAAATCCTAGCACTTTAGTTCCAGGAATAGAGAGGTTTCCCTACAGGCCAATTTATATAGTGAGTTCCAAGTCAGTCAGTTTTCATGGTGAAACTCTGTCAAATATACAGTGAAGGACATAGGAAATGTCACTTAGTTCTGTAACCTGAGCTAGTCTGGAGGCTCAGCTAGAAGCATAGAGGCAGGCCACAGCAAAAAGGAAAATAACATCTAGGAGTATGTCCTGGGAGGTCCTCTGTAAATTATGTGCAGAGTAGTATAGCATTTTATGTAAGATTTGAGCATCTTCAAAAGAGACATTGAACCAGTCATCTCTGGCAGATAAGTCTGGCTGTATTATCACCTAGTTGATTGATCAGGTGTTGGGAAAGTTTACACATCTGCTGAGGTGGTGTGAGTAGAGGAACAAAAATGTTGGTTGTTTCCTTCAGACCAGGAAGCATCAGACAATCCCAGCTCCTGGTAACCTATTGTGAAATGGAGACTTCCTTGCATCTTTGTTTCACATCTTTTGACAAGGTCGTTAGTAATAAGTCCCAGTTCTTGGTTTTTTTTGTTTTTGTTTTTGTTTTTTTTTTGTTTTGTTTTGTTTTTTTGTTTTTCGAGACAGGGTTTCTCTAGCTTTGGAGGCTATCCTGGAACTCACTTTGTAGACCAGGCTGGCCTCGAACTCACAGAGATCCGCCTGCCTCTGCCTCCCTAGTGCTGGGATTAAAGGCATGTGCCACCAACGCCGGGCCCCAGTTCTTGTTTTTAACTGTGGGTCTCTTGTGAGTTTTTTTTTTTTGTACTTTTCTGACCAGGTAGGTGCCTAGGATCAAACTTATATCTTCAGGATTGGCCAAAAGCACCCTTAACCTGGCCATCTCAAAGACCCAACCTTCTTTATTTTTTGCTTGTTCAAAGAGATCTTAACCATACCAAGGCTGGCTTGGTACGGCTGACTGTAACCTGTGATCGCCTACAGCTTGTCTTAGTGGCAACAGTCACTCTGCGATGTGCCTGGTTGACTCCGGTTTTAGTGGCAAGTCTGCTAGTTCCCCAAGGCAGAAATTTCCCTCTGAAGCCACTGCGCCTTCGTTTCCGTTTCCTTTCCTATAAAGGGATTATGATCACGAAAAAAGTCTGGCCAACTGGCTAATAAAAATAACGATGTGGAAGACATCAAGGTTTCTCATCCGGTTTCTCTTTGGTGTTGAGGTATGCTTGTCACCTCTCAGACCCAGTCAAGGCTGCAGGATGCTACTACTCACCTGGATGATCCTTCTTGCTTCTGAAAACATTGATTTTTAGAGATCCTTTTTTTACTCCAGACTAGAGAGTACCATCAGAAAAGAGGTGAGGACTAGTAGATTTCAACTCTCTCCATTGACCTAAGAAAAGGGGAAGGTAATGTGGTCGGGATTTTGGGAAAGGGGAGGGAGTGACAGATTGGAGGAGGAAGGGTCTAGAGGAGTCCAGCTCCGGTTTGGGAAAATCCAGCTCGCGTTTTGCCTCTCGCTCAGCGGTGCAGGGTCCAGCCAAAGCTGAGCCCCAGCTACACTCCTTGAGGTCTGTCCTGGGGAGACACCACTACTCTAGGGGGTTGACCCGGCAGGGAGTCGCCGTGCACTCCGCTCCTCGCACCACTTTGTGCACGCTGCAACTGGCGTTTCAACTCCGGGGTCTGCACTCGCCTTGGACACCCTCTCCCCTCCTTAGTCATGCACCTCTACCTACCTCTCTGCCGCGGACATTGGGGGAGCAGCTGCTCACCCCGGGTGATTGGGCCGTGACCGAGTCGGATGGTAAGTGTCCATCCTAGGCCCGCACTTCCCGGCACACGCCGGAGCTCCAGCCTCCAAAGTTGTGCGGAGGAAAAGTTTGCCCAAGGGCTGGTGCAGGCTGGAGACTAACGCTACGCAGTCCTAGGATCCGGAGGCCGCCTGGGGTGAGCTGGGGCGGCCGCTGAGGGCATGGTTGCGGGGAGAGGGCGCTAAAACTCTAGCGGGATGGGGGTTCGGGGGGCGGATCTCTACCGGGCTGGGACTCCGCATTCACTGATGCCCGGTGATGACTCGTGTGGGCGAACTCCGCGCTGCGACCTCCTACCCAGGGCCGCTCCGGGTATTTTGTGGCGGGTAGCTAACAATGCTCCCGGCGGGGACCCTACAGAGCTCCCCGCAGTTTGGACGGGTTCTCACGGGAACCTCACCCCAGTCTTTGGGTCAGTTAGAAATTCAGTAGGGGGAGCGCTACTGTGGTCTCCTGGAGGTCCCTGAACGGGTGTTCTCAGAGCCAGACACTTTGGGAAAGTCGGGTATCTCAGCCAGAGGAGAGGCGAGAGTTTTCACGAGCAGGGAGTAGAGAAGGTTAGTGGGGCGTGAGAGCTGTTGCGAGCCGAAAGTGTGTCCGGCGTTCCGGATCCCTCTATCCGCGGAGGACTATGGTTGGGAAAGGGGGCTGCTGGGGAGCCGCTTTGGGAGTGCAGGCGACTAGGAGGTTTGGGGAAGGTTGTCCGGAAGATGGGAGGGCTGAGATGCAAGAACTGAGGGAGGAGGAAGAGTCGCCAATGACTTTCATGAAAGTTTTGAGTGCCTCTAGGTCTGGGGTCCTGGGGAGGGAACCGAGGGAGTAGCGGCAGCGAGTGAGTGCCTGAGACAGGTCGTGCTGCACGTGAGCTCCGGGTCCTTGCCCCAGGGCTGAAGGACCACCGCCTACACCGCGGGGCAGGGAAGAAAGTCTCCCTTTCTCCAAAGTGCTGCCCATGCCTTTGATAATCCCAGCACTTGGGAGGCAAGGCAAGCCGATCTCCCAGAATTACAGGCCAGCCTAGTGTGTGTAGCTTGTTCTAGGCAAGCCAGGGCTGCATAGGGAGACCCAGTTTCAAAAAAACGTAAGGCAACTTCCGTTTCTCTCTCACTCTCCCTCACCTCCAGTGTTTCCTCAGGACCAAGTCAGGAAAGAGCTGTCCGGTTGTACTTTCTTTTTTTGAACTGTGAAACCACTTTTTTGGGGGCAATTTCTGTCTGATCCAGTAGAATTTAATGTGTTCCCAAGAAGACAGATAATGCTGGAACAAGGATTCTCAGCACATCCCCCTCACTCGACTACCCGCGCCGCGCGCTCCGGACTGTCTTTCCAAGTGAACCAACCAACCTGAGTGGGTCACTTAAGCCTCTTGCCATAGCCCCCTGTGGACCTCAAATAATCTGCATTTTAGCTCCTTGATGACCGGGTTAGTAAATGTTTGCAACGGCTTGCCAGTTCTCGGGGCACTCACCCTGATGGATTGGGGTGGTAATCCCCGCCCCCCATAAAGGCATTAGTTTCTTTAGGCC